ATTGCAGATTTCGACGTTATATATGTATTTCGCGAGAATTAAAATATCAGAGAATTAAAATATCAAAATCAGAAATATTTTCGCAACACGCGTACGATATCAAAAAAGGAAAAAGTAAAGTTTACAGAAATCATTCGGTTTATAAATATATTCCTTCTCGTTGGTTAGATGCCAGCGGCAACACGCTGGATGCACGAGTTTCGTACGATACGATTAAACTCGATCGATTCTCTCGTACGAGGGAGAGAACTTGCATTATTCTGCGAGACACTTAAATTGCCGCTTGTTACACGGTGCCTGCGAGCCGCGGCAATTGATCTTCCACGAGAGAATTAGCCGCTAAATTACCGACACCCTTTGGATCGAATTGGATCGTTGACTACCGACGTACTGTGCGGCATACTCGAACAGTCTAATTGAAAATCACTTTCGCCCCGATTTAATTATGATAAAATGGTTAGCGGAAAAAGATCGTGCTAGAAATGCGTGGAAATAATTAAACGCATGGAGGCATTAAAATAACATCGATACAGAGACACAAGCCCATATATTCGGAAGTCGAAGATTTTTGTTGCTCCATTATCGAATTTGCATTATGAAATGCAGCCGCTGTGCTATATGGCATTTGATATATGCGCCGATAATTCGAATTCGCAGGTTAATTTGCTCGGTACTTTGCTGCAAATGCAAATTTAAATACGCGTAATGTGAAATAAAATAAAATTTACTTATTCAGCATCGTTTAATCCCGCATTAAATATCTATTAACGAAATGCGGCAGATCATATTTGACGCAAAAGAGCGTTATGTCAAAAATTAACGACATGCTATCGGACGAATTAAGCTGAAATAAATTATGTCAAAAGCCGGATCAAGCATTAACGAGTCGCATGCAAAATAATTCGTCAACACACATCGCATAACTCCGTAAATACGTTGATCATTTCAATCAGTAGTTAAAAATAGACAGAGCGAGCGCCAGGCTTAAAACGAATATTCAACCCCTTTTGTAAATTCAGCGTTTTACAAAAAATTAGGTCCGATTCGTTTTATTTGCATTTCTGTTTCTTCGTTGGCACTTTTACAACTACAACATGCGATTTTTAACTTTGTGATTTCCGGCGAATCGCAAACGAGAGACGCTTGTTCACTTGCAATCGGTTCGGGCAATCGGGGGATCGTTCCACTCGTACCGGTCCACCTTTGATTTACGACCCCGGCTGACGGAATCGCTCAATCACCGCGGAATGACTGCTACGTTGGGACGTCTAGAACAAACTATCTCGTTTTCGACTTGATTGGAGTCACCTGTGAGGTGTTCGCGTGCGCCACTTCAGTGTCACTTTGCGCGACAACGACTGCCTATCGTATTCGCATCGGCGTGCTTGAGTCGAATTGCCATTATGGATTAGTCTGAGTTAATAATGGATAACAGATTGACGAGAAATGAAGTGCTAGATAACAAAGTTAATGCCATTCGTTATATATGACACGAAAGAAAGTGTCATCTCGCGAAGCTAACGATATTTGAGTAATTCCCGCTAATACTAATCAGCATTCTTTTTTCTCATTAGCATCAGTAATTTAATTAATATATTTTTGCAAATATTCTAGTTATAAAATCAGTATTATTATTATTATTTTTATATATTAATCGCTATATTAATATTAATGTCTCCTCTTATAATTTTTGTATAATTTTCTAATTATGAAATTTTATGAAAATCGATTCGAGCTAATTTCGAGCCAAGATACACACTTTCAAAATATATTGCAAAATGCGCTCATTTCCCATTTTATTTCTGTTCCTCTACACTTCGACGCCTTCCACGCCAGGCTTATCTCGCTTATCGCAGAGCGCCAGCCCCGGGTGCCGGAATCAATCCGATAACGCCGGGTCTGATGAGATATCAAGCCGGGGCGATTCGTGCCGGCGCGATCGGCGCACTCGATAAACACGACAATAAAGAATCCCGCCAGGTCCGACTACGTTGGCGTGTCGAATCGACGATGACAGAATCGATCGCCGGTGTAGAGTCGCGAGCGAGCGGGAGCAGCGCGTGCCGTACATCGTTGGGGGCCAAATCCTTTATATTGGCCGCGTTGACAATCGCCCGGTGCATCGATGGGTAATTGAAGGTTGTATGAAAGAGAGAGAGAGAGAGAGAGACGAAGAGGGGAAAGCCCGCTCATGGCTGGACAAAGGCTTCGCAGAGACCGGCACGGAGAATTAACGAATCGATCGGCAATTAACATGCTCATTTTATCGGGCAATCGAGGCGAGTCGGGGGAAACCGGCGTAATTGCATCGTGATTATGGCGCATATCGCATTGTCCTCGTGCATTGTACACGTAAACAACCGAAGATTAATTAATGCAAAATAAAATCAAGCCGACGGCGATGCGTTCCCTCGTGAGAGACGTGCGTCTGTGGTACGAGGTAGTAACACGAAAGGCACCAGCTGCACGTTTGCAATTCAACATCGGGTACGAAATGCACAGAATCTGATCGAATCGATCGCATTTTAGAAACGATAAGTAACACACATTCGAGACACAATACTAAATAACACTAAAAAGCACTTGCTCGTGTAAAAAAAAAATTCCTGCGATGAAAATAAAAAAAAATGATAAGGGTAAAGAGAGCTCTTTAAAAGCGACTGGAGAATATAGTCAGAGGTTGCACATTCCCCAAAGAGAACGAGGTGATAACTAAGCTTGAGAGTTGCGTATAACGGAAATGAGTCTTTAGCGACCGGGTGAACGTGCTGCGAAGTGGGAGTGCGAAGGAAAGATAAACGGACGATACCCATTCTCATTGCTCCGCAGGAGTGAATAGATGTTGTGCGACGAGAACCGCAGAGGAGAGATAGCGGGTACCAATGTACGAGTACGTACTTCCGCTATCCGCTGGTGTGTAATGTTCGCCGCATTACCGCCACCGCCGCCATCGCGACAAGAATCGCACACGACTGATCGCATCGACATTGTAATCGCGATACGTACACATCGACGCTATTTAGCCATTAAATTTCTCTGCAATATATTTAAAAAAAATATTTTAAAAAATGTATTTTTTTGTATTAATTTCGTATCGATGCTTTTAATAATTCGGGTCAACTATCTCATCTCGTGGAAGAACAGGAAGAATCGATGAATCCTGTAGGTCGTGAAATCTCTTTGCAAATGCGGTCGTACCACCGATATCGCGCATACGTAGATTTTACACCTATTTTATTGCCGTCGCATGTACTTCGCGTGCTCGTTTTACGAATTGCAGCTGCGCACATTTGTCACGCTCGGATTTTTGCCGCGCGATGGAATTTCGTTATTTCCGCACGCCGTAGGGTTGGAAGCAACGACCGTCGTACTTTCTTGTCAAAACAATGCGGAATCCGCGCGCCACCCGACGAACGAAACATTTATACGCTCAGAGAAATACAACGTTCTGTATATGGACTAGAAGCGAAAAAATCCTCGTTTTTATGGTTTTCGACGTAACGTTTTAAAAGGCCATTGCAATTTTAGTTACCGCAATCCTTTTCTGTCTCCTTTTCGTGTTTGCAAAAAAAAGATTTGCAATTTGATCTCCGTAAGAAAGAAAAAAATCGAAGCGTATAAATATCATTTTTCGGTTTCCATTTTTAGATTCTGGACTAAGATCGGTTCTCCTCGTTCAGATATCAAAAAGTCTCATTACACGATTTGCTGAAGTATCACTGCACGAGTTGCTCACATGAGCTACGTGATGAAGTTTCGAAGTTTGGCGTTATCGATTTAAGAAATTCGCGAATCTTCGTAATTCGCGCGCGAGGATGAAACACGCTTGAAAATTAGCAAACGCCATTTGCGATCCGCGCGATGTGCAAACGTTTGATTACGCGGTTGAAGATGCATCAAGTTTAAATTGAATAATATTCCCTCCGCAAAACGAGCCTCTATCGTCCGATAACATCCCTTGTAATAATAATATGTAATTCAATTAATGTCCTGGCACAGAACACGCTTTCCCTCTAGTTCGCCGCTCTCGACTCATCACGTGTTGATATTTTTTTTAGCTATTTTTCCTACCCCTTTTCCGCTCACTTCCTCGCTAATACTTCCTCGTTAGCATAAAACTTTATGGTTGTTACATCCGCATTGATAATTTTCCCATAGCCATTTCGCGCGTCGTCGAGTTAGCGAAATATCGTAATCCGTAACGCATTCTCTCCCCCCTCCCCCTCCTCTCTCTCTCTCTCTCTCGATGAAATGCGGAATATGCGGGAATATGTGTTCGCAGGTTATCCAGCTTTTACGAATTGCAGCGTTAATATTCCAAAATGTACATGTCTTTTAGCGTAATTTATGCCGATTATTTACAGAGAAACGTAGAAACATAGTAATGGCTGGTGGCTGCCGGTTCCATTATTGCCATTTATACGCTAATCCCATTAATATACCTCGAAAGGTATATTAATTTTCAATGTAATACTTTTTATCTCTCGACATTGAGATAAACTGGTCATGCTTGATAAAATACACGCCCGTGCGTGTGTGGATGCACGCGCTCGTGCAATTATCATCGATAAATTCGTCTGAGCCATTTACATTCTTTATCATTCGTCCTCGCTTTTTCATCGTTGATATCGGTGGTGATGTTGCCGCAGGAGTATTTTTAATTCAAACCGTTCTACTGATATTACTAACTGATTCGATACATTTCATAAATAACGAGCGTAAGCGCCGCTTTTTTTTTACGGTATATCGGTACACCTCGCTACGCTTATCTTCCCGAATACGAGTATTTTCATACATTAACGAAAGAAATTGCGTTCGTGTATCATCAATCCCCCCCCGGATCGAACGTAAACTCTCGCATTGTACCATTTTATGTTATCTCGTGCTCGGGAGCGAAATTGCATTTTCGATTCCGCGCTGCCACTAACGTATTCGTCACGCGGATGACGAGCGCAAACAGAAAGAAAAAAAAACTACGTATCTTAGGAAATATCACGTACCTGGGTATTCCTCGTATATCCGTATCCCATAAACCTCTCATCGTGAGGCGGCACGATATCCTTCGCCACGTAAAACGGCTCGTAAAGGAATTCGAAATTCGTCACGTCGTGACTAATATAGACCTTACCCGTCTTTACGTTTTCGTGATGTATATGGTTCGGCGACACGTCCTGCAGCCACCTATAAAATAAAAAACTCTTAACATCCATACGTCACGTAGCTATCCAGCAGCATTTTATTCATTTTTTTTTATGGTTAACGATTCATATTTTATGTATACAAAATTGCAACCAATTATGAATTACATTAACCGGCTAACCATTGGATGTAACAATAAAATTATCAAACTGTTATTAATAAATTATTATTAAAGTCGTGTAAATAATACAGTTTGTTGTAGAAGAACCATTACGAATTCATGGAATATCACGTTGACATTTAATCAATTTCAATCCAATGGGTACTAAATCGATTATATAAATACCTTAATTGTTTCCAATTAATTAAAGCGGACATAATTTCAAATTTATAAAGATTTAACATGTTATCAAAATAACATATTTAACAAAGTGCTGTTTACCTCGTGAAATTCGTGGCAAATTGATTATGTATGAAGACTTTCTGATGGAAAGGCCTGGCCAAGCCTTTCCTAGCGAGCCTGATCAGTTCCGTCTTATTTGGGGGAAATCTCACGCGCGTGTCCAACTCGTACGTGGGTATTACGTAGGCGCACTTATCACAGTTGTCATTCTTAAGGAACTCATCGAGCACGATCGTCAGGTTGAAGCTCGGCACGATGTCGACGTCCGTTAGAAATACATAGTCCGTTTGGCAGTTTTTGCGCGCTAAGTTCCGCATGTGGTTCTGTGGATAGACATTTCGTATCCGCCAGTTGGTCTGCTCGCCGGGCACGCGAGTCATGAGTTCGTTGAGGGTGGCTTCCGGTTTGGCACAATCGACGATGTCGGGCAGCTCGAAGACGCGCGGCTGCTTCTTGGGCGTTCGCACCTTCGGCACGGCCAGGGAGAAGATCACCCTTTCCCTGATGGACTCGTAGCATCTTCTCAGGTACACCAGGTAACGCTGCAACACCTCGAACTCCTCGTCACCGGCGGCGTAGAGCGCCACGGACATCGGGCCGGTCCAGTGCAAAGCTACCTGTACCAGCGAGTGCAGCTTCTCCACGGAACTCTGGGTGGCCAGGCACACCCGATAGGTCTGAGAAAGCTCTGTGAACCTGCTGCCGACCAGCACCGAGTCGAATGTCCGGAATATCCGTCGGGCGTCCCATCTGCCAAGCTTAATGTTCAACTTGAGACCGTTAGTATCAGGTAATGTCGGCTGATAATCCTGCGTGATGCATTCCGACTGTTGCTCGTGCTTGACGAGGGTACCGAGGTTCCATTCGGTGACGGCGCTGACCTCCACCTCCCGCGGGATCGCCTCCGGCGCGCAGGTCTCCGATTGCAACAGCAGGAACGTCAGAAACATGTTCGACAGCGCCAGGATGATCACGCTCGTCAGACTGAGATTCCATGGCCGGCATCCCAGCTGCAAGTGAAAATGAACACGTGGCTGATTATCGTCATTTTTGGACGGTGCGCCGCGTATCTTGGAAAGTTCTATGACTTCCGTTCCTTCATTAGACGCGACAGTTTGATGATATAAATGATACGTTCCACATTTTTGGAGAATCAGAAGATTATAATCTAATTAGTTAATAAATTTTAAGTTAAAACATATTAGCTAATTAATATGTTTTAATTCTTTCCAATTATCCGTGACATCCGTGAGGAACTGAACTTACCGGAATGATATCAATCTCGAATATAATACATATGTAATGAAGCAAAATCATAATGTATGCGTGGCAATAACCAAGCTCTGAAGCGAGAGACGTAAGTTATTGTCGAATTACCGTTTCTGTGCTCGAGGAAGGGAACAAAATCGCTGAAAACATGACGTAGAAAATAATCGTGAGACGAATATCGTAACGTGTTCGCGTTAAGGCCGAGGAGAGGCTCCCTTTGCCGTGACGCGTTTTATGTTCGCCACTTATTCTTCCAGAACCACGAGGCACAATGTGTCGCCGGCTAGCGTGAATAATTTCATAGGGATACGTGAGCAGAAAACGGATCGTAACGAGATGAGGCCGGCGTATAACGAATCTTGCATTAGTCCCCGACGGTGGACTAACGCCTCGAGAAATATCACTCCGAATCAAGTAAATCCTTCGAAAAAATAATCATACGTGTAAAATTTATTATTTATTTACAGCAGATAGTTTATATGTAGAATGTATTTGTAAAAAAGCATATTTTGTTCCGCGAAATTATTTTAAGTTAAAGTTAGATACTTGCAAATTTTTAACATTAGATACAGCATAAAATAAAAAAACCAAGCACATTCCAGCATTTTAGTATTTACTATTGGTAGTAGTCAACAACACTGAATTGTTCATCCGGCGAACGAGAGATGCCCCCACTATATCGCCATCCCTTCCAGTCGCCAGCAACCGGTTTTATCTCTACTTCTGACCACTTATTAGTTAATTATTATTCTCGTTATCGTTATATTGTTAGTATGTGAAATTTCTAATTAATGTTATTTATTATCGACATAATGTCGATAAGATTTTAGCAGTTTGTATTTAATCAATAGAGAAAGGCGTTCGCGATTGATTGCTGGTGGCTAAAGAGGAATGAAAAGAAAATAAATCCTCGTGGTCCACGAATTTAAAAATAGAGCATAATCTAAAGAGGTGAGGCATGTTTGTGACTCGCCATATCATCTCGTAGATTGCACATGTAGAACCACATGGGACATGTACATGTATTCGTGTATGTATGGATCTCTTATTTTGTGTTATTAACTGTATTATCAACACAGTGCAAATATATCAGAAACATTTTTTTTACATATATCTATATGTAAGGTGATCAGAATGCATATGGCAAAAATGATTCCCTCCGCATGTCTGAATTTTTACTCCCCTCGTCTAAATTAGAACTTCAGGCTCTGCGTTATTTTATTTCTAAGTTCGTATTGCGCTAATGAATGATTCGGTGTTGTTAATTGAACACACACGCATGTACGTGCATGTACTGCGCATATATAGCTGCATAATTTTGGAAAAGTTATTAGCTTTAAAACCAAAAAAATTATTAGCTTTAAAACCAAAAAAAATTGCTTTTCTGTGACACGAGACTAAAGCAAACGGCAGGAAAATACACCGGCAAAATGCAAGTCAAGCATGCGCGTGTTGTTCTACATCACCATCTCCGAACGTATCAAAATGTGTAATCGGATTATATTCTTCACTCGTATTTGCGAGGAAAGTCAAGAAAGTCAAGCGGGGTGCGTTTAAACTGGGAATACTTCGTTCTCTTCTATAAATAGGGAGATTATCTCGACACGCATTGGTGCAATTTCAGGAAAAACACGGCCAAAAGTACAGGTTTTGTTTAACAAAGAAGAAAGAATGGAATATGTATTCGAATATTTCACTTTTGATATAAAGATATTTTGAATCTAAAACGAAATAAAGAAACTATATTCATTATTCTCTTAAAATTACATAATAGATATAAATATGACTTCGTATATATTAATTTTATAATTTTTCATATGTTTCATATATTCGTATATTTTATAATTTTTCATATGTTTCATATATTCGTATATTTTTCATGAATTAATTTTAAATATAAGAGAAAGAATTGTATATAGATAAAACCTATAATATTATATTTATGACATGGCAATATTAATATTACTATATAATAAAAGATGAAAATATAAAAAGTTTTTATGGTTTTACAATTAAAAGTTTATAATGTAATTGCAAATAGAAAAATTAGCTTGAATATTTAATATTCTTTAATTTTTATAATCAAATTAAATAATCAAATTAATAACTCGATAAATACTTACTAATTTTTAAAGTTAGTTATAAAAGTCAAAAAATAAAAAACAAAACTATATGTCTCAGAAAACTATAAGTAAAAAATTATGTTTAACTTATCTTAATACATTGAACGCATTGTATGATATAATCGAAAATTAAATAACGCAAAAAATGAAGAGAACTGTTAACATTTAGTTTTGTTCTTGTCATAAACATCTTTAACAGAAATTTTCTAAATTGACAAAGAAAGAATATCAAAAAAGGTATCATAAAGGAAAATCATCATAGAAAGATAACAATTTAAAATCATTTTTGAATAAGGATATAATAAGGATAGATAGCTTATCAATTAAATTTATAAGATGGAAACACAAATTTACGTTTGTATATCTTGACTTTTAGCCACGTTTTTAGGAAGTTTTTACGAAAATACCTCACTGTGTGATGGGCGTTTTAAGCGAAGAACTTACGATAACACTGCAACGGCTGACGTTGTTATTAAACAAACTCATGGAAGTGGTTCGGTCACCAGCGAAAGTAAACTGCTGAGCAACTTACCGACAACAGTCTGTGACTGTTGAGTGCAGAGCGAGAACCGTCCTAATTATCATGAGTTCGCTATCCGACAGGACCCATTGTAAAAATTAGTATCATTCTTACAACAGAGACGACAGCATCGATTGCACCGACAGCAATAAAAAAAAGCGAGAAAAACTTCTTTTTTCTTTTTTATTTAATTGTTTTGACATGAAATATTTTTCTACAAAACTAATAAAAAACTAATAAAAAAAAATAAATAAAAGCTATAAAACATCTCAGGAATCTCTACATCGCAATCACAACTGTAAACTGAATGTAACATCTTATCCAATCAAGTAAAAAAATGCAATCACTGTACGGGGCTCTCTGTAGAGCAGACATCGATTTTTGTTTTTCCTGAGTAGTGAAATTCCCAATATTTCGTTCTCAATTTGGCGTGGATAACGCAGCACGAAGGATATTGCCTTAGAAATCTTTATTTTTTTTAAATCGTTCTTACATTAAATCGAAAATTTTTTATATCACTATTTAATCGTTACTTAGATCAAGTTTTGTATTTTTATTTATATTCTTATAATAGATATAAATAACAAATTTAAAATCATCTGAGACCATCTGTCCTATTGTTCCAGTAAACTCCAGTAAATCCTTCTCCGACGGAGGAATGCGATGCTAAAACCTGGCGCGTGTCGAGTTACCCGACCTGGAACGTCGAACGCTCCGATACTAACCCTCGCAAAAATCCTACCGTTAAACCGCGGCCAACTACCCGCGGCGCGGAAATCCACCCTAATGCGCCTTAGGGGAACAATGTGTTGCATCGTTGCCACAAACGTCGGTCGTAAGTATCCCGCCATAGCAAGTTCCGCGCCGGGGGCATAGGGCAGCCCCGGCGTTACCTACTAACTGCGAAAATTATATACACACCGAAAATTATATACACACCGATAAGAACTTGGCGGTAACCCTTCTTCGCGCCGCCCCACGTGCCCGCCCGCTTTCCATCTGGATGTTCAACCGGCGGAACTAACACCCGAGGTAAGATCTTCCCGCGCCCGAGGGATATAAATCATTCCTCCTCTTCCATTTCCTTTCCCCCGAATCCCTTGGCCTTCTCGGCATCGACCTGCGGCTTCGCCGACGGGCAAACGTTGGACTATTCGGATGGTCGTCTTTTCGAGCGCGGGAAGGAAGTCTCGAGTGGAAATGCATCTTCTAGAGGAGCCTTGACCGACTTTGGGGAAGCGGATATCGGGGATGCATTAGGGTGGCGGAACGAGTCGCGCGCGTAATGTACTCTCTCCCCTCCCCGCAATGCCGCGAGTTCTCGCGAGTTACGGTTTGTATGCAGAACGCGTACGTGTGTCGGTGTGTCTGTGCATGCGTAACGTGTGCACGTATGCGTACCGCGACGCATTACACGCCGTTCCTCTCGCGGGACAACCCTGTTCTCGATGGATATGGCAAGTGCAAATGTTTGACGATTCGAAGGTGCATCCAGCGTGGTATGTCAACCCGACGCTGACGGAAACCGGCGGAAGCGACGCTATGTCCGCGATATTCCAAGTGTTATCTCAGCGAGTGGATGTGAAGTCATAGTAGAGTAAGAAGAAGGAAGTTTCTGTTGTTTCCCTTAGCTCTTTCGTTTCCAGTCGATTATAAGTTAAGTGGATCTCGAGAACGTTTTTTCGCTACGTCTGATATATTTATCGAACAACGTAACTGAAATTAATAATACTAACTGCAAATTTTCAATTTAAAATTGCCATGCTGGTAAAATTGTCCCATTATAAGCACAACGGTGATGTTGCAGCATTGAAGAAACAAATGTTGACACAGGAATTAATTGTTTAATGCCGCTGCCTCAATATCGGAGTCGCCAGTTTTATTGTGCCATCGTGCATTTCCCGCTTGTAACACGCTTACAAAGCAGCAACATACACAGTCACGCTTGTTTGGCACGTTTACCGCGCGTTTTCACGGATAATATTTGAAAAACGGCAGCGTTGTGTATAAGCCCTACATAGTCGTGTTTCCCGCAAAAAAAAAAAAAATACGGAAAAGATGCCGTTTGGCGAAATTATCTAGCAACGACGACAACGAA